GCGGCCCTGAGTGAGGCTGGAGGGGAACCTCGGAGTAAAGGGGGAGTAACCCAGGAGTAGCCGGTGCGTGGAGAAGTGTCCCTGGTGGGTGGGCTGTGAGTAAACCCGGAGTAAAGTCTGAGTAAGCCTGGAGTAAAGTCTGAGTAGCCCAGAGTAAAACACCTCAAACTGTGAGTAATCCCGGAGGAAAATGTCACCCCGGAGTAAAGCGTGAGTAACCCTGGAGTAAAACTTCACCCTGGTGTAAAACATCCCGTTGGAGTAGAGTGAGAGTAACTCTGGAGTAAAATGCCGCCTCAAAGTGTAACTGGAGTAGGAAGTCACCTCAGAGTAAAGTGTGAGTAACTCTGGAGTAGCAACTGCTCAGCCCCAGCGTGGGGACAAGGGAGAAGTGGCGGTCGAGTGGTGTCGGAGTAAGGGCTGAGTAACCTTGGAGTAAAGGCTGAGCAACGTCTGAGTAAGAGTGGAATAACCTCCGAGTAAACGCTGAGCAACCTCAGAACAAGGGCGGGGCTGAGTAAGGGCGGAGTAAGCGTGGAGCAGAGAGGATCGGACACCTGGAGTAAAGTGTGAGTAGCGACAAAGGAAACGCAGGAAGGGGGGAGGGGAGCGAGGAGCCGTGGGAGTAAGTCCGGAGTAAGTTCTGCCTGGAGGTCCCGAGTACCTCAGAGGCTGAGTAAACTCGGAGTAAACTCAGAGTAAAGGTCTCCCAAAGCCTGGGGTCAGTTTCGAGCAGAGACTGAGGAACTGTGGAGTAAGAGCTGAGTAAAGACCCCGCCCTGACCGTGAGTAACTCTGGAGTAAGATCTGGGTGGGAATCGAGTCCTGAGCAACCTCGACGGAAGTGCTGAGAAAGCTCCGAGTATCAACCTTGGAGTAACTTCAGAGTAACCGAGAGCAGGAGCAGAGAAGAGGCTGAGTATTCCTGGAGTAAGGCTGGAGTAGGGCAGGTGTGGCCGCAGAGCTGCCTTGGAGTAAAGTCTGAGTAACCCTGGAGTAACCTTGGAGTGAAGTGGGCCCAACCTTGGAGTAAAGTCTGAGTAACCCCGGAGTGAAGTCGGCCAAACAATGGAGTAAAGTCTGAGTAACCCCAGAGTAATCTTGGAGTGAAGTGGGCTCAACCTCAGAGTAAAGTCTGAGTAACCCTGGAGTAACCTTGGAGTGATGAAGGCTCAAGCTTGGAGTAAAGTCTGAATATCTCTGGAGTAACCCCGGAGTAAAGCGGAACCAACCTTGGAGTAAAGTCTGAGTAACCCCAGAGTAACCCCGGAGTAAAGTGGGCCCAAGTTTGGCGTAAAGTCTGAGTAACGCGGGAGTAAAGTGAGAGTAACCTCCGAGGAAGCTCAAAGGGCACCGGGACTCCCCTCCCCCACCCCTCCCCCACCCCTTTAGGCCCCGCCCCCCCCGAGCCCCGCCCTGGGGGGAGGGGCCCATATAGACTCTGCTTTAGAATATTGCCTTGAAAAAATAAAACTCAAATTGGGGGGGGGAGGGGAAAGAACCCCCCAAAAAAATGGGGGGGGGGACCCCAAATTCCTCCCCTCCCCCTCCCCCCACAACGTGGGGGGTCCCAGGTGGGAACCCCCTCCCCAAAATCCAGCAGCAGTTCCTCGGAAGGGGGCGGGGTTTGGGGGGGGGTCACCGCTCCGAGGACCCCTCCCCCCACCCCCCCCAAATCGTGGAGTTTTGGGGTCTCTCCCCACCCCTCTCCCCCCCCCCGAAGTTTTGGAGGCCGATCCCCATTTTGGGGTCACCCCAACCCCAAATCTGGGGGGTCCTGGGGGGCGCAGCAGCGATCCGAGGGCTGTGGGGAGAGGAAGGGGTTAAAACTGGACCCCAAAAAGGTGAAATCCGCCCATCCCCCACCCTAAATTTATCCCTCCCCTGAATTTTGGGGGTCGAAATTTAATGGGGGGAGGGGTTTGGGGGATCCCCCCCTTTTTTGGGACATCTCAGTTTTGGGATTTTCCCAGATTTTCTCAGGTTTTGGGATTTTTGGGGTTTTTTTGGGGTTTTTTGGGGTTTTTTGGGGGGGTTGGGCTCGTTTTGGGGGTGTTTGAGTTTTGGGGGTCGTCCCCCAGCGATGCTGCCTCCCCTCCCCCCCCGATTTTGGGATCCCACAATGGGGTGATCCCAGACTTTTTGGGGAGATGATCCCAGATTTTTGGGAGATGATCCTGGATTTTTTGGGGGGGGGCGGGGGGGTCTCACCTGCTCAACATCAGAATTCGGTGTCGAGCACCCGGAAGGCGGAAGAACCTGCAGGGAAAAAAAAGGGGTCAGGAAACCCCCCAAAATACCCCGAAAATACCCCAAAAATCACCTCAAAAATACCCCTCAAAAATACCTCAAAACCACCCCAAAACCACCTCAAAAACTCCCTAAAAATACTCAATAAAACACCCAAATATCCCAAAATTTGCCCGAAATCATCTCAAAAAACCCCAAAACCACTTCAAACATCCCCCACCACATTAAAAATACCCCCAAAACCTCAAAATTACCCCAAAACCACCTGAAAAGTCCTCTAAAAACCCCAAGAACGCCTCAAAATTACCCCAAAGCCCCCCCAGGAGGGGAGGGGTCCCCAGGTTTGGGGGGAGGGGTCAGAGCAGGGCTGGGTTTGGGGGTTCAGGGTGGGGGTTTGGGGGTTTTGGGGTCTCGTTCAGGGGTCAGGGTTTGGGTTTTGGGGGAATTTATGGGATTTATGGGGTTCAGGGTTTGGGTTTGGGGGTTTTGGGGTCTCGTTCGGGGGTCAGGGTTTGGGTTTTGGGGGATTTAAAGGGTTCAGGGTGGGAGTTTGGGGGTTCAGGGGTCCTGTTTGGGGTTTTGGGGGTCCCGTTCAGGGGTTTAGGGGTCCCATTTAGGGTTTTTGGGGTCCTGTTTGGGGTTTGGGGGTCCCGTTTGGGGTTTTTGGGGGTCCCGTTTGGGGTTTGGGGGTCCCGTTTGGGGTTCAGGATGGGGGTTTGGGGGTCAGGGGGTTCAGGGTTTGGGTTCAGGGGTCCCGTTTGGGAGTCCGGGTTTGCATTTGGGGGTTCAGGGGTCCCATTTGGGGTTTTCGGGGTCCCGTTCGGGGCTGACCCGTGGGGGGCAGGGGGGCCGCGCGCAGCCCCGGCTCCTTCTGCAGCTGGATCTCCTTCAGCGCGAAGATGGACGTGGCTGGGGGAGGGGCAGGACCCCCATCAAGCCACGCCCCCCCTGATTTGCATAACCACACCCGCCCCCAGGGAAACCCCACCCACCAAAACCACACCTGGGTGAAGCCCCACCCCCAATGATCACCCCGCCCTTGAGCCACGCCCACAATGCCCCGCCCATGAGCAGCCCCTCCCCCACAGTGCCCCCCCCCTGAGCAGCCCCTCCCCCACCCGCCCACCCCC